GGAATTTTTATTGAATTTTTGTTTTTTGGTTCAACACCTTTCATGCCCATTAAAGAGCACATTTCTGTGTGGATTTTTACTGAAAATCGTATATTAAAGGCAGAAGAAATGTAAATTATTCAGTTTCCATGTTCTCTGAAGCTAAAAAAATACATGTAACTTTGGCGGCTATTCTCTCACCCCCTTCAATCACACATATCTGGACTTCTATACAACAGATGGATATTATTTTCACCCAAAACTAGGAAAATAGATAGGCCTTAAGATGATACCATCAACTCTGTACGCCCAAAAATTGATGAGAGCCTGATTCCACCACGTCGTGCCACACATATATATATATATATATATACGAAAGTTGTTAATATTTTTCAAGGAGAAGGAATGTTGAATCATGAAAAATCATTATTACCTCAGTGATCTGTGATAATTTTTGCCAAAGGTTTCAAGATGTGATGCCATAAGTTGATTTCAGTATTATTGTCCTACCCATCTCTATCTTCTGCTTTCCAGTGAGCCTTTCTCTCTATTTCTTTTACTCACATTTTTACCATAATGTTGGGCCTGCAAGATGAGGTTGATTTGTAGTGTGAAAAATATATAAGAATTGCAAGAAAATCACTCTCTCTATCTTTTCTTTTTCTCATTCTCTTTCTCTCTCCCGTCTCTCTCTCCCATTCTCTTCCCCTCCTCTCTCATTCTCCCTCCCCCTCTCTCTCTCTCTCTCTCTCCCCCCCCCGTGTTGTTTCTATCTACTCTTTAAAAAAATCGACCAAGCACTTCATCTTAAGCTGATAACAGAAATGTTTTTGCTTACTCCTACATTTTGTGTATGGGTTATTGCAGGGCATCACTGGTATGTCCCATTTCTGTTCTCAGCGTTTGTTGTTTCTGTCTGTCTGTCTGTCCCCAAAAACTGAATGACTGTTCTACTGTAGATTTACTTCTCTTTACTGAAATATAAAATAAGCAGGTAAACTTAATCTTTCTGATCAAACATCTGTTATGTTTGTCTCGCCTCCTTTTGGTAGGTGGTTGATAGGGCTGGGCAATGAGTCGCTTTAGCAAAATCTGGATGATTAGTTAGTGCACCTCTTCGGCAAATAATAATGATATGAATCGCTTCGGCAAATGGGTTAGAACCACTTCGGCAAACGGGTCAGGAAAGAGAGTTAAGAGTCTGAATTCGGATGATGTTTCATTGAGAATTATCCGGTTATCCTATATATGATCCGGATTTGGCCCAGCTCTAGTGGTTGGAGGGAGCCACTGGTAGGTCCTACGTCTTTACTCTCCCCTTTGTTGTTTCTGTCTGTCTGTCGTATTTTTCCCCAGCACTAAAAGACCATTGTTGTGTCCATGTGCTTCTCTTTACTCAACGAACAAACATCTCGTCTCCTCCTTTTATTTATTTATCTAATCTTCAGCACCTTAAATGACTTATTAGTGTTGCAAGTGCTGTAAAACTCTTACTGAAACTAATGTGAAGCTGATGAGAGGAAGTGGTTGGTTGGTGGGTGCTCTGATTTGGTTTGCTCCTTCTTTCCTGTCAGACATCTATGGTCTTGATCTCTCCTTTTTCTTCATTATGATTGTTACTTTCTTGTAACCCCTCTAATCTTCGACACTTATATATCCTTATTGTGTTGCAAATGCCGTAAAATTCGTAATAAAACTGATCTGAGAACTGTGTTTTGCTGACCGGTACGTACGTTCTGTCTCCCCCAGGCCCAAGCCCGCTGTCACCGCATCGGCCAGAGTAAGGCGGTCAAGGTGTACCGTCTGATCACCCGCAACTCGTACGAGCGCGAGATGTTCGACAAAGCCTCGCTCAAGCTGGGGCTGGACAAGGCCGTGCTCCAGTCTATGGCCCAGGACAAGCCGGTCAACCCTGTAAGTGGACGCATGTATCGTCCTAATCTCTCCTCCTTCTTTTTTGTGTTTGTTACTCTCTTGTAACACATGTGGGTGGTTGGCGGGTGCTATGGTGTGGTTTGCTTCTTCTTTTCTATGAAACATCCATCGTCCTTATCTCCCCTTCTTCTTTTTTATGTTTGTTACTCTCTTGTAACATCTCTAATCTTTTGGCGCTCACATGACCTTATGCAGTTGCGAGCGCTGTAAAACCTCTACTAAAAATCATTGTCACAAACTTACCGGGGTTCTATTGCAATCTTGTCTCAGGCGTCTCAGATGACCAAGAAGGAAATTGAAGATCTCCTGAAGAAAGGAGCGTACGGTGCTCTGATGGAGGACGACAACGCGGGCGACTCGTTCTGCGAGGAGGACATCGACCAGATCCTGCAGCGACGAACCAAGGTCATTCAGATTGAGTCGGAGGGCAAGGGATCCACCTTTGCCAAGGTAACACTGCGGGGGATTTTTCTCTAATAATTAACAACTTGTTTTGTCTTTGAGAAGGTATTGTTGTTGTTTTTGTGATTTTGTCAAATAGTACCCTTGTTTTGTCCTTGCTAAGGTCTACCTTCCCTCTGTTGTTTCTGTCTACGTCTTGCTTTGGCCCTGCACAATGTGACCATGTTGGTGGTTGGCGGGTGCTCTGGTGTGATTTACTTCTTCTTCCCTATCAAACATCTATCGTCCTTATCTCCCCTTCTTCTTTTTTGTGTTTGTTACTCTCTGTGTGTAACACCTCTAATCTTCTGGCGCTCATATGACCTTATGCTAAAACAACTCTCCTACTTTTTTGTGTATGCTACTCTCGTGTAACATCAATTCTTCTGCACTTATACGACCTTATTGTGTTGCAAGTGCTGTAAAACTCTTACTAAAACTAAACTAGCTCGGACTAACTGTGTTGACCATTGATGTGTTGACAGGCCAGCTTCACCATGACGGAGAACAGGAGCGACATCGACATCAACGACCCCAACTTCTGGCAGAAGTGGGCCAAGAAAGCTGACATTGACGTGGAGGCCAACGCTGCTGAGGTAAAAGATACTTTGGAACTGGCTGGGATTTCAGTCGGGAATATGTGAATAGTCTGGGAAAATGCTGCACAGTTTGTTGTTATTCGTCATCATCCGGTGCCTTGCCGACTGGCGTGGGCGATCATGGACCTCCACTTCACTTTGTCTTGCGTTGCAGCAATGGTGTCTGTTGTTCTTACTGCTCCTAGCCATGTTGTCATCTTGTCCTGTATCTTTTCCCTCTGTCTGCCTCTGCCTCTCTTTCCATCAAACTTGCCTGTTGTTACAATATTCTGAAATGCTTCTTTCAGCATCATGTGTCCGAAGAAATTCGCCTTGTTGTTATTGCAAAACACAAAAGTGCCAGATGATAGAATTGGGCAGGGTAAAAAATAAAAAAATAAAAAATGAATAGTCTAGGAGAAATGTTGGAACTCGTGTTATTGTCATTTCTAACCCAACAGACATTTTGGTCTGACCTGTGGAGAAAAAGTTTTCTGTATCTTTGGTCCTGTCAAATGTGAGGCGTGGGTGGTTGGCGGGTGCTCTGGTGTGGTTTGCTCCTTCTTTCCTATGAAACATCTATCGTCCTTATCTCCCCTTCTTCTTTTTTATGTTTGTTACTCTCTTGTAACACCTCTAATCTTCTGGCGCTCATATGACCTTATGCAGTTGCGAGCGCCGTAAAACCTCTACTAAAACTAAACTAAGATGTGAGGCTTGCATGTTGTTCTTTAGTAACGCCTCTACTGATATGACCTAATTGTGCTGTTAGTGCCGTAAAACTCTAAGCTAAAGGTAAAGATGCTTGATTAGAATGTTCTGTCTATAGTATTGTTACTAGCCCTCTAGCAAGTAGTTCAGTTGTTCATTCATGTGGGTGGGTGGTTGGCGGGTGCTCTGGTGTGGTTTACTTCTTCTTTCCTATCGAGCATCTATCGTCTTTATCTCCCCTCCTTCTATTTTGTGTTTGTTACACTCTTGTAACACCTCTAATCTTCGGCACTTATATGACCTTATTGTGTTGCAAGTGCCGTAAAACACTTACTAAAACTACAACATTCATGTGTATGCTTTAGTTTTGTCGCGGATGAGATAGTTGTGCATAGCTACTGGCCAGTGCATAAGGAAAGGTATTTAAATACGTTTTTTTAAGGGGCCGAATATGGAAGACCGTTTTTGTCTCGGGTGAAATTAGTTAGCGTCTGTTTTTTTTTAGTAATGTTCCTCACAGATTTGCTGGTGCTGAATGTTAAAACAATGTGATAAAATAATATCTAAAAGTGATATGGAGATGATAATGAAAATGTAGTCCATGAGTCTAGCGGGAAGATCTTTGGCTGGAGGTTTACTTTAGACTGGAATTATTGAAGACAGAGAAGTGTGTGGGGAGGAGGTACCTGGCTACTGCACACTATTGTGACCCACCCCGGGGGTAGAGTGGGATTTTGTTGTTGGTTATGTTTTTTTAAAGTTGTCAGCTGTGGTCTTGTAGACGTACTTGTGTTTCTGCGGTAACCGTAGTGATTTTTCCCCTCCCATCATCAGAAGGAGCTGATCATTGCTGAGCCCCGTCAGCGGCGACAGACCAACCGCTATGGCAACGACGAGACTGTGATGGAGATCAGCGACCTTGAGTCCACCTCGGGCTCGGACAACGAGAAGGAGGGCGGCGCCGCCACCAGCACCAAGTCCTCCAAGAAGTCGAGGAAGCCGAAGAAACCTAAAGAGGACGATGACGACGATTACGGCAATGACGTGCCGGGAGACAAGTACGACAGGGCCGAGTGCTTCAAAGTGGAGAAACTGCTGCTGGTTTACGGGTCAGTCATCAGAAATATCATCATATGATTATAATGATAATAATAAGAATTATCACCAGATCTGCGACAGACATCAGCGATCATGGTTCTCCATTCATTCCTTTGCTTGATGGTCTTATAAAAGCTACGTTTCCCTGATCTTTCTCTGTAACCCATTTGTTTAGGTTCTCCAAGTAGGTTGAATAATAATGATAATAATAATAATAATATTAATAATAATAATAATAACAATGGTCGGCTCCTTCTGTCTCGGGAGACTATGGCTGCGCCTGTAGGCCGCTCTGTCGAGAACATCCGGTTCCCCCACCAGATTTTAGGTCTTAGCAGAGTGAGAAAATGTTGTGATATGTTTAGAGATAGGTGTTGTCTTGTGGACAGTAGAAAGTTGATTCTATTGGTTGATTGTGTCTGGTGTAGGTGGGGCCGATGGGGTGACCTGCTGAAGCACGCCCATTTCAAACGTCGCTTGACAGAGGACGACGTCACCATGATTGCCAGGGCTGTGGTGAGTTTTTGGCATTTTACATTTCGCGACCACAGTGCTTTCTTGTCGTGTCACTATTTTTAATAACTGTGAAAATGGTTCATAACAAAGAGTGAGCTTAAGAAGATGTCACATTTTCACTGTTCAAAGAAAATAGAGATACGACAAGAAAATACTACGGTCTTGATTTGTTGTCATTATAGTAGAGGGGTCATGTAGTCAATACCACATTTGATAAAAGCAAGTGGGTGGTTGGCGGGTGCTTTGGTGTGGTGTGCTTCTTCTTTCCTATCAAACATCTATCTTCCTTCCTTATCTCCCCTTCTTCTTTTTTATGTTTGTTACTGTCTTGTAACACCTCTAATCTTCTGTGCTCAAATGACCTTATGCCGTTGCGAGCGCCGTAAAACCTTTACTAAAACAAACTTCTCCTATAAATTTGACATATCTTTCCATAAGGCTAAAATTTAAAGAAGAGTCACTAATTTGGTCAGCACGCCTCGTGTGTGTGTAGTACATATTGATGATTGACCTCCTTTGTCAGACCCGTTGTACGTATTGTATTGTGTCCTTGACCCACAGCTGGCGCACTCTCTCAAGTTCTACAAAGGGGACGAGAAGATCAAAGAGTTCATCTGGGACCTCATCTCTTCGGGGAAAGACGGAGAGCTGAAGAACCATTCAGGTAGGTGGGGGCGGTGGAGCCCAGTTTTTGAATCACGCTGCGAGTCACAGACATTGCCAAGTGGGTGGCTGGCTTGTTCTTTCCTATCAAACATCTATCGTCCTTATCTCCCCTTCTTTTTTATATTTGTTACTCTCTTGTAACACCTAGTCATCTGGCGCTCATATGACCTTATGCAGTTACGAGCGCAGTAAAACGTCTACTAAAACTATATAAAAAAAAAAAAACCCAGCCATTGTCCAGGAGAAATGTGGTCTTCTTACATAAGTGAAGGTGGGTCCTCTTGGACAGTTGTAGAGAATGGGGGGAAAAAAACCACTAGGGAAAATGGGGAGTGATTGTCTGGGACAGATGGCCGTTAGAGCTGGTTTGACTGTACTTTGGAAAAAGAACCCAGGACTTTGAAGTTACAGAGACATTAGCTTTCTACAACCGGATCCTTTGTTTTCATTTTTCAGGTCTCTCGGCTCCCGTACCTCGCGTTACAGAGACATTAGCTTTCTACAACCGGATCCTTTGTTTTCATTTTTCAGGTCTCTCGGCTCCCGTACCTCGCGTTACAGAGACATTAGCTTTCTACAACCGGATCCTTTGTTTTCATTT